TGACCAACGTTACGGATTTATGGCAAAATTGCCTCATAAGGAAATTACCGGCAATGTTTAATCCGGACATGTAGATCAATGTGTAAGCCGACCTGGTCATTTACCATCCCTGGTTTCAACTGATCCAAATTTTCGGTTCAATAACAAAAATTGAATCTAAAAACTAAGTTCAACGTTTTGGATACCGAAATCTTGATTTAAATAATAGCTGACTTTTAATAGAATTTATTCCACGTTCGCATGACGAGACTTTTTGACTTTGACGTTTAGTCACTAAAATTAATTTTACAGTAATGCCTGTTGTTTCTCTGAAAAAATGCTTGTTTATTTTCCCAGTGCACTTTAAATTTTCATACAAGATTTGAAAATAATTCTTTAGTCTGCACAATAGTTTTATTTTGGGTGAAGGTTGTTTAAACCTGCAATCAAGGATGACAATGACCAATTACTTTAGCTTAAATTGGATATATAGAGTTTTATATGTCCAAATCATGCAATTTTTAATTCTCAGTCATACGATAGAATACAATAAAGATATTCATGACAAAGGTTTTTTATAATTCTCTTAGTTTGCGCAGCGAGATCATATTAATAAAGGTAAAAGTTTTTTAAATTCTAATAATTAAAGTAACTATATTATTAAAAGCAAAGATTCGTTTTATAATTTTCTTAGTATGGCAGAAAAAAAAAAAATTATAAAAAGAACCCGTCACATAATACCTCCATTTTGAGGTAATAACAACTAACTAAGGATGGGCAAAGTTTATTACATAATTAAAAACAGATGATTATGATTTAACTATTCCTATTCAGACTTTAATCACCTGTTTTAAATCGGTTTTTAGTCATACATAAATTCATTCTTTCCCCCGAAGCAGCATGAGGGTTAAAGAGCTAGTTCTTGTCAATTACTGAATTAATTTTTCACTCTGAGCACGTATCTACCGCGGATCTTTCGTGAATAAGGTTAATCTTTTCTATATCCTCGTAAATCTTTGAACTCTGGTAAGGTTTACAGTCACGCCTGTCATTAGTATCTACCTGCGTTCAGATGTTTGGAGGCGGTTTCCTGGACAATCCTTAGGCATACGTGTTTAAGGCACAGGCTCTAGCAGGCTGTTTTCCAGTATACAGTTGACTGTAAACGTTACCACTTTTCTTCTGTTAAAACGGATAAACAACTAATAAATGCATTGATTTTCTTTAGATTTCATTCTCTACGACAATAAATTTTTCTCTGGTAATTTTAAGTTTAATAAAAATTGAACTTTTTAATTAACAATTAAAATTAATATATACATATATATATTTTTTGTAAAAATAAATTTGCAAAATATAAATTCTATGGTGAAAATAACATTTTACGATTGGCTAAAGTGCCTTTTAAATAAGACACTGAATTTACGCGTTAAAATAGCATCATCATCAGCACTTAAAATGTTAAAAGCAAATATAAAGATTTAAATTCGAAGGTATTAAAGCTTAAATCCAAGGAGTCCATCCTTCATACATCACGCATAAATTGTCAATATCAAGTGATTGCTGGATAATCGTATCAATCTGTTCCTGAACAGTCATTTTAGTAGTAGCTTCAAAATCCTTTCCCTCTAATTTCGCTTTGATTCGTCGGATTATTCCAACTGCAAAAGCATTCCGTGCTTGGGCTGATAATATAATGATTAATGATAAATGACAATTACAATCATAAAGGACATAATTAATAAACAAATTCATTCGGGTTCTATAAGTCATACCTTGTTGCATAGGGACATCCCAGTTTTCCACAGTCTCCTCGTTATTTGGCAATAAAACCTGTCCAGTGATAGTATTTTTTGAGGGACCATTCAATTTATCATTACCAGGTGATGAAACAGGGTTATTATAGGATTCATTTTGTTCATATTCCTCAATTTCTGAATTGTCTCTTTTATTATTCGCTTCCAAAGGATTAAGTATTTGTATATCTTCCGTCTCGGTATTTATTTGAGCAAAATCACATGCATTAGAACTCTTACTCTCAATATTTCCAGGGGAAATTTTCTGAGATGATTCATGTTGAATAATAGTTCCAGATATTTCGCCCAAAGCAAACAAATTTTCAAAAACTCTGACAATAATATCAGTTAGATATGATATAGCTCGTTCCTAATAACCAAGAACGTTCAATAATGTTATTAGATTTGGGACAACAAAGTATATAAGCATTGAAGCTATAAAGAAATTGTAATTTACGTTGTCACAGCGAAGGTTTTCAACCATTACTGGGTATTCTGACTCCGAAAAGTTACTTTTTTGGTGGAATCGTCTATCAACAACTGCAAGTGCACCACTAATAACTGTATCAAAATCCGAATCGAACTTGGACCACTCACGCACAAATTCCTGATAATTAATTAATTAATTTAATCTCATCACTCTACATATAAATAAGCAATAAAAAAATTTAATAATTTCTAGTTACCTTCACTTTTAAACGTGCATCCTTGCCATTATCATCTGTCGTATCCATTTCAAAATTTGCTATAGGATCGATAAGAGGAAACAATTCACTCATTAAATTGCGAACTTCTTCTACTACTGTTTTAAGATCTTTAGCAATGTTTTCAAGGTTTCCAAGTAAATCCATGTCAAGAGATTCATCAATCTAAATTTTATTAATTATATTAATGACAAAGACATGTAATTAAACATTGTCCGAATTATGAAAGTAGAAATCACTTACTTTTAACGATGAGAGTTGTTGCGTGATATCCAATTGTGAACCAACAGTACTCAACTTGGAACTTCTAAAGAGTTCGGAAATGTTTCAATTTAGGCCAATGGTATTTTTTTAATATTGTACATGTACTTACCCTTGCATTGCTGACTCGAGTCTTTTAACTAGTTGAAGAGTATCTGCATCCATTGCAACAGTTTTGTCAGTTACTGTGCGGAAGGTTTCCAAATGCAATATTGAATTGCATAAACTAACGACATGCTTCATCTATAAAAGTTGTATTTCTTCATTTAGAATTTATTCTATAAAAACATATTTCCGAATATTAAGTAGTTTACCCTTTCAAATTCTTGAGCAAAAATCATTTGTTGATTCGCTACTGCATCACCAAATGAACGCAATAGTTCTCCAGCGTTTTCGTTAACAACCTGAGTAGCAATAAAGTCTGCAACTTCTGCATTGATTACTCTGTATTGCGATACTAATTCTTGTAAAAGATTTTCTAACAAAACAAATCGATTCACGTCTTGGGTCAAGTTTTGCAGGAACTTTATAATAACAAAATTAAGGACATATTTATGAATGTAATATATATATTAATATAAATTTACAAAAACATAAGCCACTACCTGTTGTCGGACTAAACTGTTGTCACCTATCAATGCTTCATTGATCCATTCGAAGCGCATTAATTCCATTTGACGATGTTGTAACTCTATTTCTGCTTGAGTTTTTCGTAGATTCATCTTAAAAATAGACAAAAAGTAATAAATGAGATCTAGAAATAAATTTACAAAAAAATAAAAATTTCTTACCATTGAAATAAAATTCATTTTACATCCATGGAAAGAATACTGTTTGACGCTGAGCTTTTGAGCACAAATATCATCATTAGATACCAGTCCTTGTGCAATCAGATTATTTATGGGTGATGAGCTATCAGATGTTAGGCTGATATCTTCATTCCCAGTTCTGACTAAGGATCCTATATGGTCAATTACGGCTGTGTATAGAGTTTTTGTATATGGAATGAAAAATTCCGAAATCCACCAGCGCGAGACTTCCCAAAGCCTTGTGAGTGAATTAGAACTATTCTTAAAAGCGTCTGCCATAGCCATTGATGATACCCAGACGGTGTTTAGACGAGGTTGGCCATTTTCTTTATAATAATCGTCACACGCCAACAAAACACAAGCCATAACCTGAGATAGAAAATATTAATGTAGCATTAACACGAAATTAATAACAAATTCAAATAAAACTCACATTAAGCTTATGAACAATAAAGTCATCAATGAGACGGCCTTCAATTAAATCTTCTTGACCGTCTTTAGATGAACTGTGTTCTTTAAGTTCTTTAAAAAGGGCCTAGTTAAAATTAATTTTAAGAATTAACCCAATTCAAATGACATGTAGATGCCTTGTTAATTTTAGTTAAAATATAAGTTTACTTGAATCTTAAGCAACGTATCCCTCAAGCTATTGAATAACTCGTCAAATTCGATAATTAATAAATGAACAGCTTGTGAAATCCCTTCTCTATATGTATGTTCACAAAGTCGATTGAATGATTCACTCTACGTATAGGATATAGTAATTAGAAATTTATGCAAAAAATGTACTGTCTTATAAAAGGTACGTTAATCGATTACCATAGACTTCACCATGTAATGAGATTCTGGATGCTTCATTCCCCAATAGTTGAAAGCGTCTGTAGATAGACTACGTAATACATCGGTAAAAGGTTCAAAAGCTTTCGGTGAACCATGAATTAAAAGAAATATCTTAGGTAATATAACGTTCACGAAATTATGTTGTAAGCTAAGAATTATCCGAACTGATTGTAAAAGTTCAGCGGCTATAGATAATGTCTGACTAAGTATTTCTTCATCAGTAATTTTCACTAAATAAATAAAATGTAGAAATAAAGCGGTTAGCATTTACCTTGTAATAACTATATGTAGGAAAAGACAAATAAACTTACCAGTTATCATTTGAACATGATGATAAATGGACAATAAAATTACTACGTATGTTAAAAATGACGATTTATCGAGAGTTTCATTAGACAGAGTTTCTTTAATAACAGTCTGAAAATTAGCACTAAATCCGACGTGATTAAACACTTCAGACATGTCATTCGACTCAACGAACTGATGAAGCTCAGATAGTGAAGATAATACACTCGCTAAGTATGGAAGGTGTGAATTTAAACTCGTAGAATTTTGCTCGTTGAATATATTGTTCAGCATAGAATGTAACGTTGATTCGTTCATGGCCATTTTATCTGTAGCCAAAGTTAAGGCTTCGGCAAGAGATACGCTTTCCTGCGCAGCATTTGTGTAAGATATCTTTAGATCGTCACGAATATGATTCAATGCGTTACCGTAAACAATTGGAAGACTAGATTTTTGATATAGTGCATGGAAGTCTTGACTTGAAAATGACGATTCGAGTAAAGAAACCAATAATTGAGGCCATTTAGAATAGTAATCTTGCATCATTAACACAGGAACTAAAGGAACTACTAAAGTTCTATAAAATTGCAAACGTTCAAGGCAATTTTTGAAAGCTACGTTGCGTTCATTCATCCAACTCAAGAATTCTTGCTCAATTTTGCTGCAACGTTGAAGCATAAATTCGTTCGTGGCAAGAACTTGCAAAAAGGGAGTGAAGATAGATACCCCTATTTGCGAACTTGATGAAAAAATTTCATTATAAATAATCTGAAGTGTAGGTCCTTGAATAGATTGTATAGTTTTTTCGTGTTGAGCATGCCAAAGTGCGCATTCATTAGTTCTTTGTGAGAGAGCAGATTTTAGACTTTCTAATTCAATTTGACTGTGAATGAACGCAGGTTCCCGCATCTCGATCTTAAGACTTTGACTCGGTTGTTCAGATAATTCCACTTGCTGATTATATAAATTCATGTAATGTTCGCATATACGCATGAAAACTGTAAGAAATTCAGACAGTAAATTTGAAAGATGTCCTTGGTTATTCTCAAGGGGAATCCTAAGTTCAGCTAAGAATACATGCATTATTAGGTTATTAGTAAAATCTTGTAAATTCTCAGAAGGTCATAAATTTGAAAAAAAAAAAAAAATTAATACCAATTCTCGAAATTAACAATCCTATATTTTCTTCAATCTCCATAATTTGTTTTTCGCGGCCTTCAGACATGTCTTGATGCCAATCAACTAATGGGTCATATACAAATGCTTCAAGTAATGTAATTAGAATTTCTTTATTTTCTCGCAACACCCTGAGAACATTTTCGCATGCGATCCTGAAGACACCCTCGACTCCAGTAACACCAAGTACACTTTCAATGTTTTGTGTAAGGCGGAAAGGAATTGTCTCAGGAACTCGAAGTTTTTTCCCTTTTTCAAAGCACACGTTATAATCAATATGAATAACTTCTCCACACTCAAAGTCTATCAAAATATTATCTAAATGACGGTCTCCCAGACCAATTATGTAGCCGATAACAGACATAACTGCAAGCGAACGTGACAAAGAAGTGCTTTTAATCCACCACTCTTTTGGACTTGAACAAGATGCCCAAACCTCCTTTTCAAGTAGATCTGAAGGTGTTTCTGACACTAATTCAAGAAATACTGATTTGAGAACAGAGCGAGGCCAGTTACGCCTCGAAGTGGATGCAGGCCAACCTTCTTTTTTTAGAACCTTGCCGATTTTTTCAAAATACATATCACTAGGTCGTTGTGGGTTTCCAGCTAATTCTTCAGAGTTGTTTTGTAAAACCTTGGCAAAATGTTCTCGATGTTGCCATTTTTTGTAAAGTACAAATATTTGAGTAGCATTTTCTACCAATTGAATCATTCCTGAATGATTTCCTAAAGGAATGACGGCATAATTACGCGCGCGCAAGCTTCGAGCGCGCGTCTGTTTATCCCGTTTGAGTAAATCGTTAGTAATCTGTAATAGTTGCATAATTCGTTCATCTAGATGAAGATCTTCATGGCCTTTGAAAAGGTAACCATACTGCAGCCCATCCGATCCAAGGAGAACCAATTTTTTGGGCTTGGTTTTTGTAGGTAGAATTATAAAGTTTTCATCAAACGATTGAATTGTCACCGTATCCGTATGATAAGGTAAACCAGGCATAGCGATCGCAGAAGACTTGATTGTTCCCAGATATGGACTGACATCAATTAATTTTAACGAACGATTTGACATTAATTCCTTCGTTAAATCTTTTTGAACCTGAAAAAAATTTTTTATAAATAAGTAAATCTAAGGAATTTCAAGATCATTATAGTAATTTACGTACATTGCGCAAAAGATCCCAACCCGATTTATATGATTCCCATGAATATGGAGTACGTAGAATTTCCAGAGCTTCATGAATACGATTACCAAAAGTATGACAAAACCATTTCTCATGTTGTGTTGAAGCAACAGCAATAGTACTACTGTATAATCGATCGATAGATAAAATTACTGGTTTCATAATAGCATCATAACTTTCTTTCATAATTTTATTTCGTTGTTCTGACGAAAGATTGAGATTATCGTTTATTCTCTCGAATTCGCGTTCAAATTTGTGAAACCGTCTGTTGACGTCAAGTTGTAAGCCACTTATTTTATTGAGCCAAAGCTCTTCCCATAAAACTGTAATGCGTTGTAATTCTTCAATCACACGTCGAATTTCTACGATCAATGTTCCATTAGAATCATCAAGACTATCAGCAATTCTTTTGAGTAATTGCTTACTTAAGTCGCTGGTGCCACTAGAATTTGAGGCAACAACAGTATGATATACAACTAACTGTGGCGAAACAGAAGCAATTGAACACAAAAGTTTACAAAGCTGTTGTTGAACAAAAGGTTCTGGATGATCTAATCGCGAAAATAGTTGCGGAGTTATATTTTCCCATGACTGAATATTAGTATTATTAAATCCTTCGACAAAAGATTCTTCAAAAAGCTGTCCATGCTTCACAAGTAATCTTAAAATCCTTAGAGTTGCAGTTATTATATCAGATTCCTCAATATGTTCTATGCGAATATCCTACAAAATTTTCAATATATCGAGCGTTAGTGAGTCTAAACATCCTCATAAATAATCAATTAATTTACCGCTTGAGTATCTAGAGTATCTTGAGTATCTTGGGCGTTATTTTTTCCACGTGTAGATTGTAAGAATCGGAAATATCCATCAACGGCAGATTTATAAGCAATAAAGAGTTCCTTTTGTACTTTACTTAATGCATCTGTAATCTCATCAACTGAATTTTGTGAAATCCAAGGAAGGATTGCATTAAAATCCAATATATTATCACCACTTTTATCCAATCTTGATAGAGAATTAACTCTTCGTAAAAACATGCGAAATATGTTCTATTTTTTTGCAAAAGAATACAGTGTCATATACTTGTACTAATATTAAGACAATACTGAAATAAAAAAAGAATAAAAGTACTTTTATTATTATATCACAATCAGTAAAATTATTACTATTCGAAGCTTTCCAATCATCTGTCAAAACTTGCTGAATTTTCTTACTAGCGGAGTTCAATAAATTAATAGAAAACTTGCAGCTGCCTAATTCATCAATTATCTGTCGACCATATTGGTAGTGGTATGAAGCATAGGCAAACCAAGCTTTTGCAGTCGGACTTTCTCCATTAATCACCCTAGACAAACATGCTTCCACCAGCTTACTATTTATTAAATTAGGCTCTAAATTTTTTTCTTCTGAATCTTGGCTACCAATATACTCGCTGAAAATGAGATTTAAATTAGATGAAGTTTCACTATCTAATTGTGACTCTGGATGCTGTAACCATTTTGCCAGTTTTAAAAGCACGTTTTGACGAAAAACTAAAGTCTCTGAAAATGCAAAGGACGGATATTGCTCATCGCGTAAAAGTGAACATACACGGACAATAGCTTCTTGATACAATCCTTGAGCAAACAACATTTTAGAATGTTCAAATACAACTTCTGCAGGAATATCTTGCTTCCAATGATCAAAGATATAAGCTGCATAATTTAAAGCTGAACTTTTTCTAGCAATTTTTGCCATCAAAAATTTAAATATATTAATCTCATTTAATGTTGTTTGAATTTCTGGGTTCGAAATTAATTGGTCAATAGTTGTATTTAATGGACTCCACAAAGATAAATCAATAACAAATGTATCACTAAACGGTAATTTCTGATTGTAATTTATGCATTCCACAAATTCAGATAAAAAATGGTGAAGCTGTTGAGCTTCTGATTTTATTGTAATTGTCTTTAATAAGATAGGAATAGTGCTCATTAAGGAGTCCGTAAACGAATGCTTAACAATGTTCTCTAAAACACAAAGAGCTGTTTGCTGATTCAATGTACTAGAATTAGAACTTTCATTAACTAAATTAAAAAGCCTTTCACGGAAAAGGCATAACATTGGGATAAAGTTGGCACCACGATAATTGAGATATTTTTGCGATATTTGCAGTGGAACATTATCAACGAGATTCCATGCATCCAAGTGGTCACCATCATGGTATTTTGCAAGTGCTGTTAAATAGTCTTGATTTAATTGCAACAAAGGATCTATAATGATTTCAGTTTCATCATGTACATAAACCCATTGTGCTAATGAAGACAAATCTTGCATAATACAGTAGCAATCAATTATCTATGAAGCAATTAATGTAGATAAGAGATCATAGGTCATGGTAATGTACAACTGAATTTAAGCAGGGCCTCAAAACTTTGATATACATCCTTGTAATTTATGACGAATTTGTCCTCAACCCTTTGGCCTATAAAGTTTCATTCGTTTTGGTTGCTTAAATTCAGAGTTTTATGATAAATAAGATTTGACTTACTTGCGAGCTCAAAAATCGAGTCTGTGGCCAAATTGGTTGAATTTCAGAATCAATATCAAGAAGGTAGTCGAAAGAATCAATCGCTTCGTTTGCAGCAAGTTCGTATCTCGATTCTGAAAATAAATGAGAGCCGTGCATCCAATTAAAATTAGCTTGGTTTGGAAAGAGTTCATGCTGTGACACTTGTTTAAATTTTCAAACGATATAGTTAGTAAAATGTTATGTAGTAATTCTTATTTTAATGATTATCAATTATTCATAACTGTAACGCAAAATTAAACAAACATTGAATAGAGGCCCGCCGTGTAGAGCCGACTGGTTCAATGTTTTCGCCCGCAGTAAAGTCGTCAGTGTGATCTGATAAACCAATTTCTTGTTTCTCGTCACTTGGACAGACACGTTTAGACCATGCTAAAAGCCCAATAATACTATCTCCAGCATGTAATCTTTGCAGACATTCAACTAATAAAATATAACGGGATTAGATATTTGAACCTAATGAAAAGATGGAACCCAAATTATAATGTTGGTATAGTTATGGATAAATGTGTTTGCATTACGAACTACATCTGCTTTTATTAAGGGAACCACCTTTATCCAACATAATGCAATAGCACCTTACCAACATCAGTAAGAATTTGTTGAAAGTCTGCCAACCAAATATTCTCACTGGTAACCAGCCCTTGATTTAGTAGAGCTACACGTTGCGCAAGGGCCTATAAATTAATGTTAAATTTAATTTGATAAAAATCCAAATACTTGTAAACTAAATCAACAATGATAAAAGCATATAAATACCCTAAAACCGTGAATAACAGCCAAAGCATCATCACCAATGATTTTAGCACCTTTGATAATGCCTGTTCTAATGCGAGAAAACCAATCATCACAAACTTTACGATTCGTTCTGAAGAAAACAATACTGGCACGTGGTGCTTGGGGTAAATTTCCAAGCGAAGTCCCAACCGTAGCATTGTATATTTGAAGTTCCAAACGATCAAACAGATTTAACAAGTCCCGTAATTGATAACGATTTATCATACTTATATAATGATTAATTTCAGAATCAGCCATAAAAATAATAGGTCAACATATTTTATAGAACTATCATTTCTTAATTACCTATAATGTAAATTATCTTCGTCTAATTCATTTTTTATAGAAATCGTGAAGTCTTCTATCAACAAATCATTTAATCTCTTTTCAAAAGCATCAAATGTCTAATGTGCAAACAATAAAATATAAAATTTATGCATAAAAAATTGTTAGTTTTAAATTTATTAATTGATTATAATAAATATTACCTGCTTTGGTCCTCCGAATGGTGTCCGTAGCCTTGAGAGTACACAATAACGAGCGACCTCCCAAAGTGTCCAGAACGTAAGCAAATCATTGGAATTCACAATAGCATATACAATTTCATCTCGTGAATAGACTAAAAACAATAAATCCTTTTAATTATGCAGAAAAATATATGCACATAGTGAGGTTATATTAAATTACCATATTTGAGATTGTTGTCTTCTATAACATCTTTTGGATTGAATAAATCATTAGATTGACAAGATAGGAACAAACGTAGACGCCATTGCCCTTTTTCGCTTGGATCATATGTAACGTTGTCAGTTTCATCTTGTCCGGTTAGTAACTCTTTCATTCCCAAATGGTTCATCACGATTTGGAAATGAGGTGATCTGAAGCTACCTAAATTTGGTGTCATGCACACATTTCCCTGTGCAGAAATATTTCCTAGTTAATTTTTAATAAGCATTTATAGATACTCTAAATCTTAAATAGCGTGCGAGTACTTTGAATTTCATCACTAATTGATCTTCTAAATCGTCATGTAAAAAAGTTGAAAAAAAAGGATTTATTCTATAGATCAACTTGGAATAGCCAGACTGTACTCTGTGATCCACATCATTAATCCTAAATTAGGAGAAAGTCGAATATCATAAAACAAGATTCTTGTTTGCGAATAAACACAAGATGTAATGACGTCTATTAACATCTATACCTTTGGATAATCTTTGAAAAGGCCTTCCGACCAATGCTTAGTGATCCAAAAACATCAAAATATTCATGTATAACTTTAGGTATTTGCATACGGATGTTGTTATTTTTGACAGATCCTATATGTTATACGACTAAATAAGTATCTTCAATTAATTAACAATATAGTGGAATTTATGTAACTCACTGGATATAGCAATTAGAGTGTAAATAACATGCTCAAGTTCTTGACGAATATTATCTTTTGTATCGGTTGACGTAAATTCATGAGCACTACAAAATTCTAAAACATCTCTAACCCATTCGATAATCAATGCAAAAATATTGAAGGATAATTCAAATTGATTCTGCAAAAGCGCGTTAATGAGAAAACTCATTGCATGAAATGCAGAGTCAGATTGTTGTTTCTCTTCTATAAAATAATTCTCGCTAGATAATTTCAAAAACCAATCACTATGATTATAAAAATGAATACACTATGAAAACATTTGTCTTATAAATACCTTTTACATGCATGTCGAAGCGCATTAATCAAAGAACACATTAATATACCATCGAAATAATCACGCTCCCTAAGCTTGTTAAGTGTGAAGTAAAGGATCCAAAAGATTTCTCTAGCACTCCCCAGTACTGGCAAAAGTTGTATAGTGAGCTCAATATCAAAAACAATTACAAATGTTGCTGTTCTTTCATTCAATATATGAGTACTTGTGGGCAAATTAGTGACGTCAAAAAGAGGTTGCAAGCCTTCAGGAAAGAGATCAGACATCTGTTCTTCGAGAACGGTATTAATCATTACATTATTCTTCAATTGTGATTTCATGTCAATTTTTGGAAGGTTATTCAAAGAAAATATGAAAGACATCATTTGACCAACTTCAATAGTAATTTGATGGATCAGAGACATTTTATTTTCATCTGATGAAGTAAAATTATGATCTTGATTCTTAAGAAGTATACGGAACATGTCTAAAATGTCCGAATGCAGCCGAGCAAGATATGGGTGATATATGCGAAGCTTCATTAATGACGAATTTGGATTCGCCAATATGATTATAACATCAGGATGAATATGTGGAGTCCATTGAGAGAGAATCTATAGAAATCAATGACGAGTGGATATTTAGTATTTTGTGGAAATATACATCTTTATAGAAATTAAATATAAGGCGATCGATAGATGAACAGTACATAAACCAAAAACAACCTGAAGGAAGCCATCAAACCAATCATCTACTATAAAGTCAATCGATTCTTTTTGAAGACCGTTTTGAATTTGTAATAACCAAAATTTAGTCGACTGAACTTGATACTGTACAAATGATTTCTTTCTTGACGAGCTCATGGTCAAAATTATCTGGCTCCCTTAAGCAAAAGTTAAAATTTGAGCTAAATTTAATTAATTTATATATTCAGAGAAATTTACTTGATAAATTTACCTTTTTCGAACCATCCAGTATCCATATATAGTTCAGCTATAACAAATATGAACTTAATGATCCAGGCTCGCAGCTGATCAAAGGGATGTGCACTTTCTACGTCAGTTGTATTGTTAATTTCTTCCGTAGAAGTTTGTTGCAAAATTGGGCTAACTGCTTCAGCAACTGTCTGAAAGCAGCTAAAAAAAAAAAAAGCAAGTTTATAGTTTATTGTTGAATTTATGATTCTAATAAATAGACATTTTTGGATGCTACCTTAGCAGTGATTTCAAATTACTTGGCATAGCTTCGCTCTCGCTTCTAGTTCTATCATCGATCTGAGGACCTTCTTGGGATACTGTCACACCTGAAAGTACCTCCATATCTGCTAGAAAATGGCTCAATAACTCGTAAGCAAAATTCAAATTTTTTGCCCAAAAAGAACGTAATCTTTTGAAAGTATCTATAAATATTATATTTATTTATTTTATGGAAAATAAACAAATAAATAAGTAAAAAGAATCAAGAAATAACCCTAAAAGCAAGACAGCACAAATACCAGCTATAAGGGAATGAAGTGTATCCGAAACTGATATATCTATATACCATCCCACCAATAGATCAATTATATCCTATAAATATGGAAATAACCATGTAAGCAAGCGAAAAAAAGCACCTTGCGAAATTCAAACTTGAAATACCTGAAACCGTTCACCAAATTCTGTGGGATATCTATCTGCAATTTTTTCTAACACCTCTAAAATACCAGGAAAACAATCTGAACTATCCATTGAGTCTAGTAAACTTTCCAAATCATGAAGAACATTAGGAATGAACTGTTGAAGTGGACCAGAACTTGAAGTAGTTTGAGAACTTGAGGCAAATTGGTTACGTACGAAAACCTGTAGGTTTTCGAATGAAAAATTTTAATGATATTTAATAAGAATATAACTAACATTCTATTTATCGTTTTACCTCTCGTAAAGAAGTCAATAACCAAAGCTTGCGTTCTTTCTCTCTTTCTTTAGAGTTACTTTCTGAAGCTTGTAATCTTTCAAATATCCAACGAAAATAATTGTTTATATCATTGTTCATTATCAAAGCAGTTTGAGCTAAACATTTTGCTACAGCAGTCTTAAAATTTGTAGGTGCACTGTACATAAATATGCAGATCAGTACCTCATAGAATTGCAAGAGTAATATCCATTGATTAAATCAGATTATTTAAAGGATTTACCGAGAATCTTCGAAGATTGCTTCGAAACCCGTACCACGAGTTACAGCTTCAAAAATTTGAGATTTTTCCCAGGGCGTGCATGGTTCGTTCAATATAACCACAAATTGGTTAACATATGACAATCGTCTAGTATACACAGGATCATTCTCGTCTCGAATACGAGAAAGTAGTAAGTTTACACGAGAAATTTTGGCAGAATCAACTACATTGAATTATATAACATTAGAACTAGCAAGCAAATCGCGTAACAAAGAACCGTTGAAGAAACGTTACAATTGCCTCTGGCTTCTAAATTATTATGTGATGGTGCATGGGGTTGTGTTTGATACTGGCGATGGGAAGATCGTCTGCCATACCGATTCCTAGGCCCACTCATTATATATTTAACTTTTACGAAAGTGTTTTCGATCAATTTATTAAAATTTCTTATTATATATTAACACGTGCTTTATGCATTATCACATGTTATAAAATTATCACGCAAATAAAGTGACGGTCAGGTGGAGATTCTACTCGAACATTCACATTCTGATTGGACGAAATCAGCAATCCAATTGTAAACTTTTAGCGAAGATATTTCAGCAATCACCTATCTAAAATCGATAAAAAATTTTTTATTTAGATTATGTATAACTGTATAATTAAAATAAATTGAAATAGTTTTTTTTTTAAAAAAAAAATTTTGGATGAGTGGTTGTCAGAACAAGCTGCAATAAAGTTTTTTTTTAAGTGAAGATATCTTGACAATCACTTATCTAAAAGTCGATAATTTTGAATGAATGGTCATCGAGTTATCTTCGCTCAAGTTTGGAATAAAATAATTATCAATACATGTCGTGAAAATTTTTTTCCAAGATACCCAGATGATCACCCATTTAATTTTTTATTTCGGTTTTATTAAATGAATTTTGCTAAATATCACTGCATATCGATATAGTTTTTTTAAAAATTTTAGATTAAAGGTTGGGGTTAATTTAAATTTTAATTAGGGTAAGGTTCTCGGGGATCTGAACATTTTTACTTAGAACCCCTAACAGCTAACCAAATTACTTAGTACATTTTTGAGATACAGTATAGTGTTGCGGTGATAATCACCTTCGGCGAGATTTAGCAATACTAATACCCTTATTAAATTATTAAAATAAAAAATTTTTATCGATTTTGGATAGGTAGTTTTAGTGATATCTTTGCTCAAAAACTTATATAACTATCAAAACAAACTTTAAGCGAAGATAATTATTTTATTTCAATTCTATAAACTGATCAAAAAAAAAAAAATTTTTTTTGGATAGGTGTTCGACAACCACCCGTCTAAGGGTGTTCTCAAGCACCCGAATTTAATAAAAAATCTGATTGGCTAGTTTGATTAAACTGACCAATCAGATTCGTTATTAAGTCCATTGCTTGAGAACACCCTAAATCGATAAATTCTTTTTTATTTGCTATACAAACCGCAAAAATACCGGTTTAATGGATCATTGATGGGTATTCTAAAAAAAATTACACTACTATCAAATAAAATCGCGGAGTAAAAATTCCACAATCCCATCATTACTACTCAATCCAATCCAATTGTAAGATTTAACATGTAGCATAAAATTCAGAAAAAACAGTACAAATATTCTTCTAAATAATATATTATTAAGGATCAATGTTTAGGTAATGTCGGGATCCAATGTTATGAATTAATCACGGGTCATCATTATAACTAGGTATTGCTATGAGAAGTCAGAATCGAAGTTCTTTAAGAACCTATCAGAAACGGTACGTAAATTATTTTTTTTTCCTACCTATCAAAAACTGTAACGATGATTCATCAGGAATGGTATTCCTGCATAAAAAACTGCAATTAAAAAATCGATTTTGAATAGGTGTTAGTCAGAATTAATAAAAAGTTATCATTAAAACAAGTTGCAGCAAAAGCTTTTTCCGAATTTTGAGCGAAGATATCTCAACAATCACCTTACAAGAATCAACAAAGTTTTTTTTTTATTTCGATTCTATAAAACTGTGATTAAAATAAAAATTTTGAATAGATAGTTATCGAAATTAAGAAATTTGTATAATACTATAATATCCAAAATAAGCACCACCTAAAGTATAATCGTATAGCTTTTTTACTAAGTACAGTAAGCCTACTTTCATCCCTATGTTGACTCCTGATCAAGACGATTCTAATGGTGGTAAAATCATGAAATTGTTCCAGTAAAACCTCTTCAAATTTCGAGATATTCGTTACTTTGAAGAGCAGTTGCAAAAGTTCTACTGGACCAATTTTAGTGATTTTAAACTCATCTTGATGGTGAATAATTTTATTTAAAAGTCGAATCCTATATTAACTATATCCGAAAATAAGCGCCTACTATAACAAAAAAAGGGTGCTTAATTTCGGAACTATATAGTATCCTTTTTTTAAACTTTGAGCGAAGATATTCCGAACGCACCTATCCAAAAAAAAAAAATTTTTTTCGCTTAATAACAGTTTATATAATTGAAAT